AAAAAAAAAAAAAAAAAAAAAAAGGATCTCATCAGCTTTCCGTTTCCCTCAAGGCCTCCCTGGCCTCTTTGACCAGGCTCCTCTGGTCCCCTCTCCCTCTCTTGCCCCCTGCACTGCTTGTTGCCAGTGACACTTTAAACTGGTCTCTTTCTCTCTCAACAGCCCCTGAATGATTTAAGGAATGACTTCAGAAATTTGAAACTTGAATGACCATCAACCCTCCCCCCGCCACCCACCCTGTTCCTGCAGCATCTCAATGCTTCATAAACTGCTGACTCTTAGGAGCAAGTTGTGAGCTCCACGTGCACACCAGACCCTCCTCCCCGAGTCCAGGAAACCTTTCTTTTCCCCTTCATTCTTCTGTTTTCTTGTATAAGTGGGTATATATTTTTGTAATTGAAAAAATAAAGATGATTTTCAAGTCTGTAAAACTTGGGTTACTTTCTGAAAGGGAAATCAGGGCTTTCCTTCGTAAAAAATGAGCTTAAAGGATTTTCATTTTACGGCACCAAGAAAAAAAAAAGTGTGTTTGGGAATTTGCTCTTGTAGTCTAGAATAGCTGGATCATTTCGTCGCCCGAATATGCTCTGTTCTTTCTCAGTATCTACTACGTATCTAAACAAATAGGGTAAAACTGTTGAACGCACACAGTTGCTCATAGACTTGATTGGGGAGGGGGGAAGAAAACCACTTGGAACAGTGTTATTTGGTGTTCTTAGCTGAAGAAATAGGCACCGACTCTGGCTGATTAAAGCAGAAAAGAAAGATTTGTTAAAAAGATGTTGGGTGATTCCTTGAAACTCTAGGAAAGAGGGAGAGCTAGATTTGGAGGCTCCCAAGCCAGGAAGGAGCCCCCACACTGTGCTGCAGAGCTGGTCTAATGAAGGTGGCATTGCGTGCCTGGAAGCCGGATGCTGACACAGAACGGCCTGCCTTAGCTGCCTCCACTAGGGACAGCCCTGCCCAGGATGGAGAGAAGGAAAGAAGAAACAAGTGACAATAAATAATGAACACAGCAGAAGATGAAAAAAGTAAAATCGAGTGTGTAACACTAAATATGAACAGAATAAATTCTTCCATGCTGCTCCCAGGAGGCACTCTTTAAAAAAAAAAAAAAAAAAAAAGAAAAAAAAATTTTAAAAAAAAAAAAAAAAAAAAGGAAACAGAGATTGAAAATAAAAGGAATGAACAAAGAGAGCAGGCAAATAAAAAAAAAGCAATATTGGCAATATCACACAAGGTATACATTAATGGATCGAACAGGTTAAAGGACTTAATTAAAATAATGATATAAAGGAACAATGAAAGAATAAAATAATAAAGAGGCGGAGTTAAGATGGCAGAGAAGTAGGGGGACCGCGATTTCCCTCCTCCTTCAAACAGAGCTGTATTGAGGTCAGATCACTTGGAACACCCAGGAAATCAATCTGCAGTGGCAGAAGGATCTCCACGTTGGAAGGAGACAGCTTGGCGGGATCAAGGTGCAGTGCATGTATGTGAATTGGGGGAGATAAAACGGAGTAGGCACAGAGGGGAGGGAACCGGTTCCGTGGACAGACAAAAGGAAGAGAAAGGCAGAGAGGAACTGTGAAATTGAGGTACTGAGTTAGCAGAAGAGGAAAACCTCTCCGGACCATGGACGGGGAAAGAGAAATACAGAGAGAACTGGTTTCTATTTTGCAAACAGCCTTAGGAGCTGAACTTGGAGGTTCCAAAGTGTGGGACTTTCTTCAAAGTGATGCCGCCGCCGTGTGCACCCACTGTGGGGGAGCCGACCTCCAGCCGGTAGCGATCTGGGGGTGCACTGGGAGACAACAGTCCCCTCCCTCGAGCACTGTGGGAAGAGGGTCTATTGCCGGGCCCCCCCCCCCCCCGTCCCACAAGAGCAAAAGACTCTGCAGACACCAGCCAAAGGCCTTTGTCGGCTGGGCAGAGTGGCACTACCCCAGAACTGGGTCCACACAGTGCAGGATCCTTTAAGACAGCGGGTTTTAGATCCCAGCTGAGCACCTAGGAGGCACAGGACACCTTACAGCAGGACTAATGGCCCCACCCACTACTCTCTGAGGGCCGCTGGAACAGCATGGTTGGAGACACCCATCCTGGGGAGGGGAGATTGGGGTGTTTCTATTTTTCTCCCCATCACCAACACGATGGGTCTTCCAGGAGTAAATCAGCAGCCCCCAGTGGAGGCAGGACCCGTCTATACCAAACCCCGCCCCTCCGTGCCTGGTAACTGCTTATCTACACTGACCACACTCCAGACCAGCACAGCTACTGGTCCCCAGGCACCACCAGACAACTGTTTTTGCTTGTTTCTTTTCTGTTCTGTTCTTTTCTTTTCCTTTCTACCCTCTTCTTTTCTCCTTTTGCAATCAAGCTATAGTTTCTGATTTGTTTTTAGTCAATTCTTATTATATATATATGACACACACATACACACACGTAATTGTTTGCTTGTTTGATCAGGCATTTTTATTCTATTCTCTTTACACCTTTTCTATTTCTTCTTCTTTATTTTCCTTTCTCTTTCTCTGTATTTAGTCCTATAGTTTTTTGATTCTCTGTTTGGTCTTCAGGGGGAAAGCTCTCCGTTTTTCCCCATTGAGGATGATATCATCTGTGGGCCTTTCATATATGGCTTTTATGATGTTAACGTATGTTCTTTCTATCTCATCTTTCTTGAGGGTTTTTAACAAGAAAGGATGCTGTATTTTGTCCAATGCTGTTTCTACACCTATTGACAGGATCGTATGGTTCTTATCTTTTCTTCTATTAATGTGGTATATCACGTTGATTGATTTGTGAATAGTGAACCAGCCTTGCATTCCAGGAATGAATGCCACTTGATTATTGTGAATAATTCTTTTAATGTACTGTTGAATTCAATATGCTCGCATCTTTTTGAGAATTTTTGCATCCATGTTCATCAGGAATATTGGCCTGTAATTCTTTTAGTGGGGTCTTTGTCTGGTTTTGGAATCAAGGTAATGCTGGCTTCACTGAATGAGTTTGGAAGCTTTCCTTCCGTTTCTACTTTTTGTAACAGTTTGAGAAGAATAGGTATGAACTCTGCTTTAAATGTCTGATAGAATTCCTGCTAGGAAGCCATCTGGCCCAGAACTCATTTTTTGGGAGATTTTTGATAACCGATTCAACTTCTTTGCTAGTTATGAATCTGCTTAAATTTTCTATTTCTTCCCATTTGAGTTTTGGGAGTGTGTGAGTGTCCAGGAATTTGTCCATCTCTCCCAGATTGTCCAGTTTGTTGGTATATAGTTTTTCTTAACATTGTCTTACAATTGTTCGTATTTCTGTGATGTTGGTTGTGATCTCTCTTCTTTCATTCATGATTTTATCTATTTGGGCCCTCTCTCTTTTCTTTTTGAGAAGTCTGGTTAGGGGTTATCAATTTTGTTTATTCTTTCAAAAAAAACACAGTACTTTCATTGATTTGTTCTACTGGGCTTTTTTGATTCTATATCATTTATTTCTGCTCTAATCTTTATTATTTCCCTTCTTCTACTGGCGTTGGGCTTTATTTGCTGCCCAAACCTAGCTCCTTTAAGAGTAAGGTTCAGTTGTGTACTTGGGACTTTTCTTGCTTCTTGAGATAGGCCTGAATTAAAATGTATTTTCCCCTTGCGACTGCCTTTGCTGCATCCCAAAGGGTTCGGACTGTCGTGTTTTCATTTTCATTTGCTTTCATGTATTTGCTAATTTCTTATTTAATTTTCTGGTCGACCCATTCCTTCTTTAGTAGGATGTTCTTTAACCTCCATGTATTTGGGGGCTTTCCAAATTTTTTCTCGTGGTTGATTTCAAGTTTCATAGCGCTGTGATCCGAAAATATGCACGGTATGATCTCAATCCCTTTATGTTTGTTGAGGGCTGTTTTGTGACCCAGTATGTGATCTATTTTGGGGAATGTCCCATGTGCACTCAAGAAGAATGTGTATTCTGCTGCTTTAGGATGGAATGTTTTAAATATATCTGGTAAGTCCACCTCATCCAATGTGTCATTCAGAGGCATTGTTTCCTAATTGGTTTTCTACCTAGATGATCTGTCCCCTACAATTACGGTATTATTATCCAAAAGTATTAATTGATTTATATATTTGGGTTCTTTCATGTTGGGGGCATAAATATTTACAATTGTTAGCTCTTCTTGGTGGATAGACCCCTTAATTATGATATAATGCCCTTGTTCATCTCTTGTTACAGTCTTTGTCTTAAAGTCTAGTTTGTCTGATATAAGTATGGCTACTCTGGCTTTCTTTTGATGTCTATTAGCATAATAGATGGTTCTCCATCCCCTCACTTTCCATCTGCAGGTATCCTGTGGTCTATTTTTTTTTATTTTTATTTATTTATTTTTATTATTAACTTGTTTTATTTTTTATTTTTTAAAATTTACATCCAAATTAGTTAGCATCTAGTGCAACAATGATTTCGGGAGTAGATTCCTTAGTGCCCCTTACCCATTTAGCCCATCCCCCCCTCCCACAACCCTTCCAGTAACCCTCAGTTTGTTCTCCATATTTATGAGTCTCTTCTGTTTTGTCCCCCTCCCTGTTTTTGTATTATTTTTGCTTCCCTTGCCTTATGTTCATCTGTTTTGTCTCTTAAAGTCCTCATAGGAGTGAAGTCATATGATTTTTGTCTTTCTCTGACTGACTAATTTCACTTAGCATAGTACCCTCCAGTTCCATCCATGTAGTTGCAAATGGCAAGATTTCATTTTGATTGCCAAGTAATACTCCATTGTATATATACATACACCACATTGTCTTTATCCATTCACCCATCGATGGACATTTGGGCTCTTTCCATACTTTGGCTATTGTTGATAGTGCTGCTATAAACATGGGGGTGCATGTGTCCCTTCGAAACAGCACACCTATATCCCTTGGATAAATGCCTAGTATTGAAATTTCTGGGTCATAGGGTAGTTCTATTTTTAGTTTTTTGAGGAACCTCCATACTGTTTCCCAGAGGGGCTGCACCAGTTTGCATTCCCACCAACAATGCAAAAGGGATCCTCTTTCTCCACATCCTCACCAACATCTTTTGTTGCCTGAGTTGTTAATGTTAGCCATTCTGAGAGGTGTAAGGTGATATCATTGTGGTTTTGATTTGTATTTCCCCGATGATGGGTGATGTGGAGCATTTTTTCATGTGTCGGTTGGCCATCTGGATGTCTTCTTTGGAGAAGTGTCTATTCATGTGTTTTGCCCATTTCTTCAATGGATTATTTGTTTTTTTGGGTGTTGGGTTTGATAAGTTCTTTATAGATTTTGGATACTAATCCTTTATCTGATATGTCATTTGCAAACATTTTCTCCCATTCCATCGGTTGCCTTTTAGTTTTGCTGATTGTTTCCTTCACTGTGCAGAAGCTTTTTATTTCGATGAGGTACCAATAGTTCAT